TTATAGACTTGACTTAAGAATATATCAGCAAAACCATAAACAAAGCTTACATTAATGATATGATAATTATAATTAATCTTTCATTGCAGACCATTTGTTAAAAATACACTGAAAATGTCATAAAATTTATGTCAGTAAAAGTAGATAATAAATTAAATAAACATTAGTTCATATACTTAGGATGCCTGTCCGAGGCAATGGGTACATGAACATGAACATGCAACCAGTGCCTCAAAAAAGCGCTAGATTGCATCGTAAAATACAACAAGCACAAAAAGATGATAAAACCAAATTTGTTAAGTGTCGAATGCACCCTAATTAACCCTATTTTTTTTATTTTATCATTACATTTAATGAACTTTTAATGACGGTGTAATTATGCTCAATTAAAGTGCAGTTTTTTAATATTGCAAGAAGTACCCAGTTCTAATTATTTGAAGTAATATCGAGGTTATAATGTGGGCGATATTTAACTCTTTCATAGGCTGGGGTAGCGGGGTATCTATACGCCAGTATATTTTAAGTCTATGGATCCTATATGACTCATACATTTATACGTATTTTATGTATGTATTTACATTTATATTTTCGTATATATAGTCGCATGTTTTTATGACGTTTCTCTGCATAGCTCTTGGTGGACTTATAGAAAATGCCTTAAGGCCATAAGTACACATTTTACACACCCTGCTGTCTCAAGTTGCCGTCAAAATCTTCCAAAAGCTACGAAATGTGACTGAATGTGACCTATCAACGTATTGTGAAGCAGTGTAGCTACTTAGGATTATAATCACTTCATATTGAGAGGCTTAAAAAGCAAGCATCCAAGCCAAAAATTTTAATAAAAAGGATAATAATAATGTGATCAGGGTTCCGAGCGTATGGGTTATCCCCTTACATTTAGGGGGTAAATAAGTTGCGATGGGATTTTTTAGGGGCTTTATATTTTTAGGGTATTTTTAGAGACTTTTGTTTTTCTTCCATTTTAGCTAATTTTTACTTAAAGTCCGGTCGTCCAACATGAAGAATTTCGTACAATGACCCGTCATTACTTATCTTACTCACTCCCGCTTTAATATATTACCGTTGCGCTCGCACATATACAGTGACCGCCATCATCAGTTATTGCTAACCTTTTGATCATAACAAGGATTGTTCTTGTGCACGTGTTCTTTGGTTTGTCTTAATATTGATATTTATATCTAAACTAAACTTTTAGCGACATTCTGTATTGGATTACGCTGATGATAACTCAGTTTTTGGTTAAGTAGTGTTTGACGTTAAGTATTTAGCGTGTGTTTCATCGCGATGGAATACTCAATAAATTAAATAATCAAGTAGATAACTAACGATTAATAAATGTAATAGGCGAGACTTTGATATCCTCGGACATCGAAACAAATTGATTGTATATAAATACCACTTGTTCCCCGTGATTTCGTCCGCGTGCAATCGCAATCAAAGCCAGTGAAAGTCCCGTCAAAATTGGTTTAGCCGTTTCGGAGATTAGCCGGAACAAACAGACAGACAGAGACAAATTTTAAAAATTTTGTTATAAGTACCGTATATAGATTCATATGCATTTAGTAAAAAGCTGTTGTTTTGGCATTTCATATTTTAAAAATTTTGTTATAAGTACCGTATATACATTCATATGCATTTAGTAAAAAGCTGTTATTTTGGCATTTCAAACAGACACTTCAATTTAATTTATTTGTATAGATGTATAGATTTATTTTAAAGCACAAAACTCTTATTGTTTTATTTTCTTCTTAATGCTAAATAACTACACGTTTAAGTAAAGGGAATCAACTCGTCAGTAATCTAAATTAAGTCAGTTATCGGAGTCAGACCAAGTATAATAAATCTATTGTTGCGTTTTACTAGGATGAGAAATGAACGTGTTCGCTTATTCATAGTGAGGTGAGGTCCTTAATAATCACAGATGTCGTAGGTTCACTGCCTGTAATCACTTTTTTGAAGTAGGGTCCACTTTCGCGTATTTATTCTCCGATCTCAAGCATTTATACCCACTGAAAGGAATGCATGAAATTCTAGGTCGACAGGCTTTTTGTTGCATTTGCAACAAAAAGCCTGTCGACGAAGTAGCATCCCACACTACAGCTTTACTTCTCTGCCAAGGGACCAATGTCATACCGTCGGGTCTCCTGCCATCGTCTCTAAATATTCCACAAGGCTCTGAAAGCGAGGGAACATTTATAGAGACACGAGCCCTTCAGATGACATCGTTCAAAGAACTGTGTCGTGAAAACCTACCAGCGCTTTTCTTACATGAAAGTCCGTGGAGCCCAAACTTGTCGACGCTGCTACCACAGGGGCACTCATAGGGTTGACAAAGCGCCGCTCCTAGTCGGATTCCTACGACTATACGCAAGCTTTCCCCATCAAGTAATGTGCCGAGATTACTTGATGGTAAAGCGTGTAACCAGTGACTAGGTTCCTTAGTCAAAACAGCTAGAAGGTGAGCCTTATCTTGGTCGCTATGGAAATTATGAAACAAATCTTTCTGCACGCCCCGTACCGACGGAATATCCGACTGTTTTTGTTGATTAATTTCCAGTGGAACATTTTCACCTGGACAGAGCGTTTGCCATGTCTGCCCTGCCTACGTAGCAAAGCGTAGGTCTACTTTATTATTTAAAATTATGTTACATAAGTCACTGACACTATGCACATGCACTATGGAAAGCAGGCAATGCAACGCTAGAAAGATTTCTCACACCAATGCCACCAAATTTTATAGGTAAAGTAGCTTGAGTGCAGGCTGTTGTATTTAAAGTTAAATTTAGAATTTTTTCTATAGCTATTTTAAGATTATTAGCAATATCTTTTAAAATATCCGAACATTTTCAGACTGGACTCAAGACAAGAAGAGACAAAGAAGAGACAAGAAGACAACATTTTAAAATAGTAAGAGCTATGTGGGGTGTTAATTTATACAATTTATCAACGTGGTTTAAAAACTGATCAAATTTTGTTTTTAAAACAGGTTTAATACTATCGAAAAAAAACGGGGCACCTAGCAGGTATGGTGATTCCGTACTGACAGTTTTAATTCCTGGAAAAACATGATTGAAATTTTGAATTAAACTGTCTCTATGAGAAGTAGATAAATTATTGGAAAAAAATATTTCAAATTTATTGCTATTTGGTCCAAGACTAATATTTTTAAAATTTCGCAAAATACGAGTAAGATCACTGAGGACGTCATCTGCTCTACCTCCCAGTGTACCGTCGTCCAGGTACCAGACATTCAGCTTGGATTCCAAATTTGAAATAATGGGTTGAATTCCCAAACTGAATAGTGCTCGACCCAGTGGGTCACCCTGCTGAACACCGACAGCAGAATCGATAACATGGTTTCCGTAAAACAAGTTAGTATTTTGACTATAACATTGTCAAACGTAATGATAAATTTCGGGGGTATTGTTAGCCACTTCTTTCAGCAAGGTTAACCTATCGATAGAGTTAAAAGCATTCCTTAGGTCACCTTCACAAGAACATCTGCATCAGAGTTTGTTAAAAATGTACGTACTGAACGTACCGCCGCCTCACAGCCACCTCTAGTGCCAAAGCCTAGTCCTAGTTTTAAGGTTAGATATTATGTGCCTCCAAGCTAATTTTGAAATTAAGCGTTGAAATGTAGAACCAACGGCAATAGGACGAATACCGTTATCCTTTTTTTGAAGGCACTTAACCTTGCCCCATATAAGAATGGAATGAAATTTGGAGTAACATTACCAGAAAGCATAAAGTTACGTAATTTTGTAATGTCTTTAAGAAGTACTCCGCCAGCGTCACCGGCAGATGCGCTCATAAGATCTTTAAGATGTTGAGGCGTAATTCCGTCAATGCCGTCAGCAGAGCCATTCGAAAATGACATAATTCCTCTAAAATGTTTTTTTCAGAAATTCGTAAAGGTTGCATAGAAGTCTTGGGAGGTAGCGGTAATCCCTAAGAAGGTTTAACCGAAGGATGCTTCTGACGAAGGCTTTCAAGAGTTTCAACATTACGAGGAGCCAGGATATCGTCTGAGAATAAAATACGGGATGCATTTTTTAAGTCGCCGTCCATTACTTTCGACTCAACTACTTTTTTTAAATCAAATTTAGGCCGTGGTCGAGAGAAATGAGTATTAATTGGGTAATCTGAATTTTGAAAAGATGTCTCTTTTAGTTGAGACGTAATTGATTTATTTATTGTTTTATCAAAATGAAAATGGGAATATGCGAAAGTAAATAATTTTTGCCAACTATTTTCACTATTAGTGAAACAATTTTGGCATGATAATGCTTTAGCAAGCTGCATCCTCGCTCCTCTAGGAATTCTTTTAACCACTGGTACATTACGATGATAATTGTAAATTTGCTCTGAAAAAAGGGAAAAATTTGTGTCATTAGTTGAATTGCTAATAGAGTTATGAATTTCTAAACTAGGCAAACATTGTACTTATTTTAGGGGATTTCCAAGTAAATAAGACGATTTTAGAGGTTTTTGACTTAACTTTTAATGGTAAGTAATTTTTTGAGCTTGTAACACTGAAACGGTCAAAATATTTGACGAGTTTTTGGCGGGAACTTGATCAGCGGCGGTTTGCTGCTCCTGTATTATTATTTAAATAATGGTTTGAAGTGAAAATAAGCTGTTTGTCTGCATAGGCGCCTTTAGATACCATCGCCAACTATCAGCTGTCTGCTGGCTCAAGTTGCCGTCAAAATCTCTCAAGGGCTGCACAATGTGACGCATCAACATATTGTGAAGCAGTGAACTATGAAGGATAATTATTTATAATAAACCGAATAAAAATACTCAAGACTTGGCCTAAAGGTCTAGATACCAGGCCATAAATTCCTATATAAAAAAAAAAAATTTTGACCGTTTTCGTTTTGACTTTTGGTACCACTGGCACGGTGTTGTTATTGTTTCTGTTGTTTTTCGTTAGTTTTTGTAGTATACTTTACAGATATAAAGTTAAAAGAATGAGTTTATGGGTTGACAAACACCGACCTAAAGATTTGATGAAATTAGATTTTCACAAGGATCAAGCCCTTAGGTTGAAAAACCTTGTTCAACAAAGTGACTTTCCGCATCTTCTTGTTTATGGGCCTTCGGGTGCCGGTAAAAAAACTAGAATTATGTGTTTATTAAGAGAACTTTACGGCTCTGGTGCTGAACGCTTGAGACAGGAAACAATGCATTTTACCACTCCGTCAAATAAGAAAATAGAAATTATGACTGTGAGCAGCAACTATCACATTGAGGTTAATCCGACTGATGTAGGAATTCACGATCGAGTTGTTATAATGGATTTAGTAAAAAATGTTGCTCAGACCCATCAAATTGACTCTTCAGGACAGCGTGAGTTCAAAGTTGTAATACTTAATGAAGTCGATGATTTAACTAAAGATGCTCAGCATGCTTTACGTCGCACCATGGAGAAGTACGTTGCTACTTGCCGCCTAATCCTTATCGCCAATTCTATATCACGGGTTATTCCTGCCATAAGATCCCGTTGTTTAACAATAAGAGTTCCTGCTCCTACAGAAAATGAAATTGCTACAGTGTTACACACAGTTTGTAAAAAAGAAGGTTTAAGTCTGCCATCTGAACTAGCCATGCGTATTGCCAAATGTGCTGATAGAAATTTACGGAGGGCTTTACTGATGTGTGAAGCTTGTAAGGTACAGAAATATCCATTTACTTCTGATCAGAAAGTTCCTGAACCTGATTGGCAGCAATTTATTAGAGAGATTGCATCTATGATTTTAACAGAACAATCCCCAAAGAAACTAGGTGAAGTTCGACAAAAGTTGTATGAGTTAATAATACATGGTATCCCTCCAGATATGATTTTTTCAGGACTTTTGTGTGAATTAGTCCGTAATTGTGACATGTCAATGAAATGTCAGGTAGCAAATCATGCAGCTGAGTATGAGCACAGAATGAGACTTGGCAATAAACCTATATTTCACCTTGAGGCCTTTGTTGCTAAATTTATGGCTATTTACAAAAAGTTTGTTGAGGAATCTCTAGGTGATGCTTTCTGAAATGTTTTGTTATATGGACTGATTAATAATTTAATAAGTACAATTTATTTAAGATATTTTTATCAAGATATTTTAAGGTTCGTGGTATTGAAATAAAACAAAATCATAAGACATAATATGTTTTTTTTTATTAATTTTATGACAATATTTCAATTTCTTCAATTTGTTTTTTATCATAAACGTCATTGTGACATTAAAAAATCTAAAATGAAAAATACTAATTTTTAAATTTTAGATAAATTATTATTAATTTAATTAAAATAATAAAGAAAACAGCCTATTCATACTTATAATAATGTTTTACTGGTACTTGACTAGCAAACAATCTAAAGTTGTCTACTACTGAATTCATCAAAGCAATCACAACTTCATTGGATAAATGATCTAATATGGATTGTCTTGATTGCAGCACTTGTTCAATGATTCTTGCATTTTCACTATCTGAAATGTAAAAGAAAATAAATGTTATTACCATCACAATTAAATGTGATTGTATCCAGTAGGACTTCTACATTGCCACTTATGAAGGCTAAGATGTAATGCATCAACCCAAGACAAATATGTTAATGGTACTGGCTCTCTTTACCTTCAAATAAAAAGTCCTATAGGGTTTCTTATCCCAGAACAGAGGTTTTCTTCCAAACCAATAGTAAAACTTGAATGACTTTCAATAAGATATCTTGTAATCTATATTGAATAAAAATGATTCCATTCTATTCTGTTCTTCAGATTAGAACATAGTGCACATACTGCTGTTTAGCAGTGGAAATAGTTAAGAGGGTGGTTCCTACCCTAAGAGGGTCACCTAGGTGGAACAGGAGTCCTACCACATATTTTACAGAATAAAGGCGACAAACGAGCACACAGTCCACTTGATGGTGTGGATGCTATGGCTCATAGAAATCTACAATTATGCTCAATTAAGAATCCAAATGCAGATGTGTTGTCTCACCCCTGATAGACTAGGAGATAGTGACAGAAAATATTCTCCCATTTTCTCCTGCATGCCTTTTTAAGAATTGATAACTAACCCTGAAATATGAAAGATTAGAGGGGTTACGAGCCCTTGTGAACTTGCACGTCATAAAGAAAATGGCTTCTCTTTGTGTAAAGAATTTTAGTATTTTTCCGTGACATTATATTGCATGCCTTTGTAATATAATGTAGTTGTAACAAATTTAAACTATAATAATTGATGGCATGCAATTCGCAACGGCCGACGGGGCTCAAAGGGTTACGTAGAAATGAAATAAAATAGAACATTTCCGTGTTTAGAAATTGCATGCCGTTGTAAAAAATTAGTTTTTTTTTAATCTCATAAATACAAAAATTGGCATGCACCCCTCGTATGACCAAGGGTGGAAAATATTAGGAAAATGTTGTGAAAATTCAATACAACTTTTCCGTGATTTCAAACTACTTCTAATATTAATTTTATGACCAAATAATTCTGAAATACAAATGGCATGCATGTTGCACATGATCATTATATTATAAATAATAATGAAAGTTTCATAAAATATATGAAACATTTCCTTGTTTTTAATTTGCATGCCGTTTTGCATTTCATAAAAACATATTATTTTAAATATATATCGAAAATGACATGCACATTAAATAACACCATTGTATTTTTAATAATAATGAAAGTTTCATAAAATATGTGAAACATTTCCGTGTTTTTAATTTACATGCAATTTTGTATTTTATAAAAAAATATTATTTTAAGTTTATGACGAAAATAGTGTGCGTATTAACGTCTATAGTTCAACAGAAAAAAAAAAGTTATAAAAAATTTGAAATGAAAGTCCTCGTTTCCAGTGAAAAGGGTCTCTGTTCTCTACACTTACCATACAAAACACAACACAGCAGCATTAAGCTGCTATTTTACACTGGGATTCTGTGAGAGCATGGTCGTACCTAGGTTGAGCCGACTCGATTAGTGCTACAACCATAATATACCTGCAGCGTGGCTCTACCATGTACAATACTATATATATATAACTTCCTGTGAAATGGTCCGCTAAATTAATTATAAGAAAATATATACTATAATATAAGTACATGGTAGCTCAGATGGTTAGCGCTCCCTGTAAATTTCACAGAACACGGGCAACCCGGGTTCCATCTCTGCCGGAACCAATGCAATTGTTAATTGAAATTTTAAGTGCTGATTTACTACATGCTCGGCGGTGAAGGAAACATCGTGAGGAAACCTGCATGTCTAAGAAATAATAGAAAAATAATATTTCAAAGACGTGAAGTTTGTCAACACGCATTGGGGCAGTGTAGTGGACATTTCCTTGCCATAAAACCCTCAGAAATGAGAGGAGGCTTGTGCCCAGCAGTAGGACATATATAGGCTGTAAATTTAACATACTATAATTAAATCAATAATATTGAAAAATTAATTCAATCACCCAAATAAGGAAAGCTCAATATCAGGATCCTTCAAAAGTATGCATTAATTGATTGACTAAATTGTGCCTGACCCTGCTGGATCAAGTTTATATATTATTTATTATTATTATGTTATTTTTACACTTGAATCATTGAGGGTTAAATTATTTTACATTTTTGGAGCATTTCGCACAAGTACATACATACATACATAAACACTCACGCCTGTCACCCAGAGGGGTAGGCAGAGACTACGGACTTCCATTTGGCGCGATCCTGACACACCTCTCTCGCCTCTTTCACATCCATATATCTACGCATACACGCTCGTCGGTTAAGGGTACTCCTAATCTGGCCCATTTTCAATGTATCGCCGATCTGGTCGATAAACCTTCGTCTAGGGCGTCCCTTCCCGACCCTGCCGTTCACTTCTGCAACATAAATTTGCTTTGTCACTCTTTCCTCGTTCATTCTTTCTACGTGACCAAACCACCGAAGCATTCCTTTCTTAATCCTTGTCACAACGTCATCTTGCAAACCACACTTTTCTCTTATTACACTATTTCTCACCCTGTCATTCAGATTCAGCCCTAGCATACTCCTTAAGGAACGCATTTCTACAGCATTTATTCTACTCTCACAAGTACTAACTATAAAATAGCAACTTTATCTTTTAACAACAACAAAGGGTCCTGTTGTATGTACATTGTTTATGTTACTCCTGGTTAAATCTAAATTATGATATATTATATGTAATATTATGATGATTTTCCCTTGTCGCATTTCAACCCTGGCTGTACTTTAGAGTATTACAAAGCAAGGTATGCCTATGTATACTCTAAGGGCTAGTCAATAATAATAGAGCCTTTGAAGTGTAAGAAAATGTCAAAAACATGAGGGTCATTAATTTAATAAAACATTAATTTATTCTTTACAGTATTAGTATTGATCCTTTTAAAATATTCATCGTACTCATGGTGAATACTTTGTAAATACTTTTCCATAAATGTGAACCACTGAAAACCCCTATGACCGCTTTTCTTAAAACTCCCCAGAAATTTCTAAATTATCAACAGCTAGCGCATCCTTTTTGCTTTCAAACCTATTGTATCTTCATTTATCTTTGAATTTTGGATGCAAATAAAAATTACTTGGTCAGGGAATATGTCGGGTGATGTAGTGTAGACGTACTCGTATTTTTTGAGTTAAGAAAATCTGAGATTTCTAGCTCGTTAGTCATATCAAGCTGATAATACTTTTGGGGTACAAACTGCTACTACTCGTATTCACCACAATAGCAATATGACTGTCTGCAGGCTCAAGCCGATAAAAATTTCGCAATGTGACGCATTAACATAATGAAAAATTTAATAAAAGTACTATAAAGGATAAGATTCTTATTACTTGTCACTGACAAAAGTACAACGTACGAATTCATTACCGAATTAATGTATGTTATATGCCGTTCCCGTCCTGCACAGTGCACCTCAACTGAAGATCGGTCTCACGACCGGCCGCGTGAGAGAAAATAATTATTTCTTAGTACACTCGGCCTGCCAGAGGCCCAAAATTGACCATCACCGATAAGCGCGCCTTGAATTTACTCCCGAACACCTTAATTGGAGTGCTGAGCAATGGCGATCTGCCCTGTTCACTGATGAGTGCAGTGTGTCTACATGGCAGTGACAGGAGAGCTCGGGTCTACAGGCGTCCAGGCGAGTGGTTTGCGCAGTGCTGTTTTGCCGAAACAGTGCCCAAAGGTGGTGGTTCGGGTATGATGTAGGCGGGCATTTCGCTGGAAGGAAAAACGGAGCTCGATGTCGTCCCTGGTGGAGGCCGAAGAGGCGACTGCTGTACGACATGTGGAAAATATTCTTCTGGACCATGTCTTGCTTTTTGAAGGCTTCATCGAGGAGAGGTTCCTTTTAATGCATGACAATACCCGGTGTCATACAGCACAAATAACTCGTTGGTTCATGGATGAAGTTGGCATTCGGACCATGGACTGGCCAGCACTAAGTCCTGATGTCAATCCCATTGAGCATCTATGGGATGAGCTCAAACGGAGGGTACGAGCAAAAAATCCGGCGCCTACAAGCATCGCAGAGCTGAAGATAGCGCTAGAAGAGGAGGGGAAAGGCTTCCTCAGGAACTGATTAAAAAACTTATCATGTCGATGAGAAACGGCCTTCGAGCTGTTATCGAAGCTAGGGGAGGCAACACTAAGTATTGAGACAGTAAATTTTGAGTATCATACATAATATATTTTCTGTTTTATTTTAAATTTGGTCAGCCCTTACTTACTTTAATTAACTTCACTTCTGTTGCGTTTCCATTTAAACCTGATTAATTTAAAAAGTACTAAGTAGATTTTTAATATAATGGTATCATTTTGAAGCTTAGGGATTAAACTTTAAAAAAATAATGTTTTATTTACATTATTTAAGCCATTTTTAAAGTACTGTAAGTAGTGAGTCGATTGGCCCGAACCGAAGGTTGACTTGTACTAAAAATTTCTCTTCTAGTACTAGCGACACCATGAAGCAAATACAAAGAGGAGACGTTGTAATCATGAAGCAAATACAAAGAGGAGACGTAATTCAATTTCACTATGAAACAACGCGTAACAATTTGCGGGGTGAGGGGACGCAAAGCCCCGCCCACTACACTATCTACATCTACCGATAAATAGTAAAACTACTCGAATCTTTCCATATCAATGTTGCAATGTAGCTTAGCTACCTTGACGGTAGATGGCGGCATATCCACAAAATGTTATAAACTTAAAAATAATATTTTGGCGATTAAAATTTCTTTATGTCTGAATGCAAAACAAATTTTAGCACCTTCGTATGATTATTTTATCATTACTGAGCTCTACGTACCTTTATATGTTTGTTCACAGGACACAAAGTGTCGCCATCTAGTGTGGAATATATTTAATTATATTTGAAAGCCGACGCAAAGAGATTTTTCTAGAACTATTTTAATAAATTAGGTGTAAAATTACTTACAAATGAAATGTGATGCCATCCATAGCA